AACCCTAAACCCTATAAACCCTAAGTGGGGGGCCTATCCTAGAGTTGCTTGAAGGCTTCCGATAAGGGTTGCTTCAAGGAATCCTTTTAGGGTCCGTAGTCAGCCCCTTCAGCTTTAGGGTCCAAGGGCTTAGGGTTGAGGGTTTAGGGTCCAAAGGCCTAGGGTTTGGGGTTTCGGGGTTTAGGGGATTAGGGTTTAGGGTTTACGGTCCAAAGGCTTAGGGTTTGGGTTTAGGGGTTTAGGGGTTTAGGGGTCCCAGGGCTTAGGGTTTAGGGGCCCTAATTCCTGTGGACCCTTTCTTAAACGTTTCTGGACCCACAAAATACCTCCGTACCTGTAGGAGATTTCAGCCAATATCCAGGGTTCCTTGGATTCTTAGGGCGGAAGAACTCAACTGCAAAAGCCCGAAACCGGTAAACCTTTTCGCAAACCTGTAGAAGTATACTCAAATAACTGAAACCCGAACCCTTACACCCGAACCCTAAACCCTAAACTCTAAACCCGGAACCCCCTTACACCCGAACCCTTTACACCCGAACCCTTACTCTTTGCACCGGACCCATCTGCAGGCGTTCCATCTGGAAGCAGCCAGTCGTGTGCGTAGCCGGTCCTTGCTTGTGGCCCGGTGATGAAAGTAGCGCAGTAGAACCCTAAACCCTAAACCCTAAACCCTAAACCCTGAACCCTAAACCTGAAACCGAAACCCCGAACCCTAAAAAATAAAGACAGGTCCTTAATTACTCGTGACCCTCAGGGCCCTAAAGTCCTGAAGGCCTCAACAGCTGAACTCCTCAGGAAGCCTTAGGGTTCAGGGTTTAGGGCTTAGGGTTCCTTCACGAGAACCTTAGACAGAAGGAACCTCGTGGGTGCTCGGTAGCTGCTTGGAAGGGTCCCCCCACCAGCATAAGCCGAAACATCACCGTACTTTCCCAAATCAAAAATACCAACCTACAGAGCTATCCTAAACCGAAGTACCCAAGTAAAACCCTAAACCCTAAACTCTATAAGCCCGAAACATCCCTAAACCCTACACTCTATAAGCCCTAAACTCTAAACTCTCAACCCTTCCTCTATTGCATTCTCAGACCGACCGGGGTCACGAGGTTTCGGATCGAAAGGCTCATTGTTTAAGGTCTCGGGCTTCTCCTTCGGAAACCTAAACCCTAAACCCTAAACCCTAAACCCTAAACCCTAAAACCTAAACCCTAAACCCTATAATTACCCCATATATGGCTATGAAACTTGTTGGGAACCGAGACCCTCAACCCTACACCCCAAACCCTAAACCCTAACCCAGACCCTGAACCCTAAGTTCGAAACAACCGGTTTAGGGTTTAGGGTTTAGGGTTTAGTATCAACTCCATAAACCCGAGAAAGCCGCAAATTTTCCACCCAAGAGAACCAACCAGTCCGAGCCGCACTTTCCCCTGACCGTCGGACCTGCAAGAGATAAGGTTTATGATATGAACCCTGCATGACCCATAATAAGGACTATACCATAATTCCCATAGTTTAGGGTCCTTAAGGTACTGCAGGATTCATATCATCAACCGTAGCAAGTTTCTTCACTCCAGGGCCACTTTACAAAAGGTAAGGGTTTGGATTCGCGCTCACAGGGTGTAGGGCCATCTAAGTCTCACACTGAGATTGGTGATTCCCGTTAAGGGCTGAAGGATGGCTCTGGGATGCCAGGGACGCCAAGACATGCCATCTAGAATGTCTTCTTTCAACCATGATACCGTAGGGCCCAGTTATTTAAAGAGTAGATTACGCACCATCTAATATATAGCCCATGAACACCCTAAACCCTAATTAAACCCTAAACCCTAAACTGTAGGGGCCTTTATAATTAGAATGGGGTTTTGGGGTTCCTCATCATAATTACAGTACAATATACCCCAAAACCCTTCTTTATAAAGGCCCCTAAACCCCAAACCCTCATAGTATAACCCTTATAATATCCCTGTTCGGAACCCTTTCAAGGAACCCTATGAAACCCTATTCTAATCATTCAGGCCCCTGCCTATATCAGGTCTCTTTGCGACAACGCCAGTCTCTAGGCTCGTTAACCGGGTTAAACCGCTTGGCCTGGTGGTTATGGTACAAAGTGTCCCAGGGGGAGTTTATTAAGGTAGGGTTTAGGGTTTAGGGGTTTAGGGTTTAGGGGTTTAGGTGAAAGTTTAGGGCTTAGGGGTTGTAAGGTTTAGGGGTTTAGGGGTTCAGGGTTTATAGGGTTTATAGGGATTAAGGGTTTAGGGTTTAGGGTTGAAGGAACTCGCGATTGAACGAGGATAGCGCCGCTACTTGCTTTGGAAGCTCGGGCATAGACTTGGAAGGCTTTCCTGCTTGAGCGGAAGCCTCAAACCGAAACCCCTGCAGCTAAACCATGGCTCCAAACCCTAAACCCTAAACCCTGAACCCCCAAACCCCAAAACCGAGGTTACTAAACCCCAAAAGCCCAAAACCGAAGTTACTTAGTAACTAAGCCCCAAAGCCGAAGTTACTAAGCCCTAAGCTCCCAATCCTCCCTAAACCCGAAAGCCCTAAGCCCCTATACTCTAAACCCCCTAAACCCTGTAAGCCCTGAGCTCTACGATCCCTAACCCCAAACCTAAGAAGGTCGGCGGAACATGAAATAGGGTTTAGGGTTTAGGGTTTAGGGTTTAGGGCTTAGGGTTTAGGGTTCAGGGTTCAGGGTATTTTAGGGCTCAGCAGCTCTGGAGCGACCAGTTTCTAGTTCAGGTGGCGATTTCGGATCCCATATCATTAAGAAAATAGAAGGATTCATATCTCTCGCACAGCTCGTTTAGGTTTTAAACCCAAACTTTTCAACCCTAAACCTTAGACCCTGATCGTTGGACTTCATTCACTCTACCTGACTTCATATTGTCGTCTGGGCTGTCTTATATTCTACAAACCCCTTCCTTAGTGGCGTTGTAAAAAAATTGACGCTGTGGCACAAAAAAACTCAGTTAACAAATCCATCCTTAGTGGCGTTGTAATTGTCTGACACCGTGGCACAACAATCTATATTAACAAATCCATTCCTCAGTGGCGTCGTAACTGTTTGACACTGTGGGAAAAATCGTGGTTAACAAATCCATTCCTTAGCAGCGTTGTAGTGCGTTGTAATTGCTTCACACTGTGGCAAAAAACTCTGTTAACAAATCCATTCCTTAGTGGCGTTGCAATTGTTTCACACTGTGGCGCAAAAAAGTCAGTTAATCAAATCCATTCCACACCGTTTCCTTCGTGGCGTTGCAACTGTTTGACACTGTGGCAAAATAACTGCATTAACAAATCCATGCCGTAGTGACGTTGGAGTTGTTTGACATCGATGTTAACAAATCCATTCCTCAGTGGCATTGTAATTGCTTAACACTGTGGCACAAAAATCTGTGTCAACAAATCCATTCCTTAGTGCCATCCGAATTAGGTTTCGCAAGCGTAAACCTGGAAGTTTTGGCCTAAACTTCGAAGCTTAGAGAAATTTTGAAATTTAGTAACTGCCACATCTTGGAAAAGGGGGAACCCAGCAATGGGCCACCAGCCAACGTAAAACACACGTTTTACGAACAGAATTTCTCATCGAACATTGGGCCTCATATCAGAAGCTTAGAAACCTCCTAAACCTCGACGTTTACGCCTAAGCTTCGAAGTTTAGACGCATGTTGAATTGTGGTAGGGGTCACATCTTGGAAAAGGGAGGACCCCGAGAAATGGGCCAGCAGCCAATCTAAACACACACATTGACTTTATCATCGAAAATCCAGCCCTCAACCCTAAACCCTAAACCCTAAACCCTAAACCGAAAAACCCTAAACCTTAGAAACCTCATGGTTTAGGCCTACAAATCAAAGTTTACGCCTGAACTTCGAAGCTTTAGCGACCTTAATCCGCAATTCGGCCCAGTCCGCGGCGACCTGAATCCATAAATGCCGTTAAAGATCGAAGACTATGGTAAGAGAGGGTTTAGGGTTTAGGGTTAGGGGACTAGGCTTTAGGGCTTTGGGGCTTTGGGGGTTTGCGGTTTAGAGCCCATGGGTTTAAACCCTGAATCCCTGACCCCGAACTGGGTTCAGGCTTAGGGCTTAGGGCTCTAGGCCCTGAACTCTCAACCTCCTAGACTAGGGTTTAGGGTTTAGGGTTTAGGGAGTCTTGCCCAGACACCCTGCGGTCAGGAACTTCGACTGAGGCATCTTGGGTCGTTCAGGCACGATCTGCGCGGACGCGTCGAAGCAAACTTGCCTCATGGCGTAGATTGCGGCTCCGGGGCTTTCGAGGCGAAACGGGTTTGGGGTTTAGGGTTTAGGGTTTAGGGTTTTAGGAACCCTAAACCCTAAACCCTAAACCCTAAACCCTAAACCCTAAACCCTAGGTTTAGGGTTTTGTTTCTCTGAGGGTGCAGAGGACAGAAACCCTAAACCCCAAACCCTGAACCGTAAACCCCAAGCACTTGGACCCATAGGGTTTGGGAGTTCATGACGGTTTCGGGGGTAGGACCTTTGGGATTTTGAGGTGAGGGGCCACGGTGCGGAAGTTAGAGATGTCGGGATTTAGGGACGAGTTCAGGATCTGAGGAAGACATGGTCGTAGATCTACAATTTTCGCGAGCAGAATGATAACGAGGCTACTTACATATGTATAGTTCTCTAAATCAGGATCCCTTTTAGGGTTCTTATATATATATATATATACGTATATATATATATATATATATATTGTGGGGTGCCGTACTATATAGGGGACACGAAGGGGCGCTAAGTTAGACAACGGCCCGTATAGCCAGAACGCTCCTGGCACTAAACCCTAAACCCTAAACCCCTAAACCCCTCAACCCTAAAACTAAACCCTAAACCCCAAACCCCTAAACCCTAAACCCTAAACCCTAAACCGTTTAGGCCCTAAACCCCTAAACCCCTAAACCCCTAAACCCCTAACCCCTAAACCCCTGCGTGCTGAGAAGCAGCAACGATTCCGCGACGGATGCCTCGAACGTCTGAGATAAGTTTGCGGGTCCAGGGACAAGGGCTGGGGTTGAGGGATTCGGGTTTAGGTTTGGGGTTTAGGGTTTAGGGTTTAGGGCTACGGTTTAGGTTTGGGATTGTGGGATTAGGGCTACCGTTTAGGGTACAGGGATTAAGGCTAGGGTTTAGGGTTTTGGGGTTAGGGCTACGGTTTAGGGTTTAGGGTTTTGGAATGAAGGCTACGGTTTAGGGTTTAGGGTTTAGGGATGAGGTCTATACCCTAAACCAGATACCCAGGACTACCTTTAGCCCCAAGCAAAATCGGCTTTCGGATTGACGGGGACACCCCAATCGTGGTCCAAGTAGGGTTAGGGTTTCGGGTTTGAGGGTGTGTGCTGTTGAATGCCTTTTTTTCCGTCTGCGGTTGCATCCCGAATCCCAGCCGGGTGTTTATTCTTCACGGCTTGGATTTGGGGTTTGTAAGGTATCAATTATATGGCAAGGTGCAACTACGACGGTTGTGGTACCTAAAGCACTACCTACGACTAGATGGGCCTTTGGGAACTTTGGCGAAGCAACTGAAATCCTAGTTTGCCCAGTAGCCCCTTGAATAAGGGTGCCCTTCTTCCTTATATTCGGTGGTAACAAAGAGACCCAACATGCAACAGCAAAAGCCAGGGAAACCAGTGTAGGGTTTTTTTAACAAATGGAATAGAGTTTTGGGGCCCAACATACTATAGTTACAATACGGAGCCCTGAGGAATAATATTGGTAAAGATTTAAGCTTCTCTCTCTATATATATATATGGGTGGTTGTCAAAATTATGGTCCCTTTTTGGGTCCTTATTATAAATATACGGCACCTATTATTTAGGGTACCCCAAAAGGGACCATAATTTTGACAACTACCCATACAGATGACTGGGGAACCTAGAGTCTTATGAGGCCCTGAGTCTCAGGCTCTTAGGGTCACCCTTGCACGTGTTCGGGGCCTGAGAAGTTGGAACCCATGGAGCAAGCCTTTCAACCCTAAGCCCTAAACGCACATTTAGGGGTTAGGGTTTAGGCTTTAGGGTTTAGGGGTTTAGGGGTTGAGGGTTTCGGGTTTAAGGTTTAGGGTTTAGGGTAACGCTCAATCAACCCTAGCTAAACCCCAGACCCACGTAAAGGAACTTTCAATTCCCGAAGCCCTAAACCCCTGCACACCATTAAGCCCCAGACCAGTAAGCCCTAGCCTGCACCCTTGACGGAACTTGTAGCCCTAAGCCCAAACCCATCCCCCCACCTCCAACAAACAAACAAAATTCCGAAACCCTAAACCCTAAACCCTAAACCCTAAACCCCTAGACCCCCTAAGCCCTAAACCCGCAAACCCTAAATCCCGAAACCCGAAGCCCCAAAACCCTACTCTGAGCCCCAAAGACTCCTTATGACTCTTTATAGGGTTTAGGGTTCAGGGTATAGGGTTTAGGGTTTAGGGTTTAGGGTTTAGGGTTTAGGGTTTAGAGTTCTCTTATGACCCTTTGTAACCCTTTAAGGAATCCTTCTATGACACTGTACAAATCCTAAACCCGAACCCTTAGACTCGAAAGCCCTAAACCCCTAAAGAACCCTAAAGAACCCTAAAGTACTAAAGCAACCTAAACCCTAAACCCCTAAAGAACCCTAAGGCACGAAAACACCCCAAGCCCTAAACCCCTAAAGAACCCTGAAGAACACTAAAACACCAAAGCACTCTAAACCCTATATGCCCTAAACCCCGATAGAACCCTAAAGCACTAAAGCATCCTAAACCCTATAAACCCACAACCACTTCTAAACCCCTATAGAACCCTAAAGAACCCTAAAGCACTAAAGCAACCTGACCTTGAAGAACCCCACGAAGCTCCAGCTTGCACCAAGGGGCCGAAGGCGCCAGGAGCGGCACGGCAGTGCCATCAGGCGCGATGTCCACTCCTTGGACGTAGCCTCGGACCTGAACAAAAGGAACGAGCTTAGGGTTTCGGTTTTTAGGGGGTTCAGGGTTTAGGAGCAAGAGTTTAGGGTTTCGGGTTTAGTGGTGTAGAAGTTAGGGGCTCCGGGTTCAGGGTTCCATCACCCAACACTCTAAGGCTGGGCCAAGACCATGCTATGTAGGTCTATTTTGAGCCATCGGGTCTCATCACTTCATGGAAATTCATCATCAGGGTTTAGGGTTTTTTTTAAAGTGCAATAGCCTCTTTCTGTTTAGGGTTTAGGGTTTAGCGTTTAGGGTTTAGGGTTTGGCTTCCCTGGGTACCCACTCAATTAAAATCCTAAGGCGGTAATCGTAAGGCGCTTTGAAAACCTCTGGACGGGCTCAGTTGCCGAACCCTCAACAATTACTACTGTTAGTATCCGGGGCCCCTGATTATGACTATACTAGCCCAACAGCCTCGGGCTTGCTAGTGTAAGTCTTGGCAGATTCGAGCCGTGGCTTCTAATTCGAGATCTCTGGATTGCACCCGTCCATCCTATACACCTCGGCCTATTAACCCCAAACTCCGAACGACAACCCAAACCCTACACCCTAAACCCTACACCTAAACCTTAAACCCCCAAGATCCGCATTTCGAGAGCTCCGTTGTCTGCCCTCTTTGCAAAAGCCCGTCAGCATGTCGGTTTACTTTCCTGTGTAAAGGTCAAGCCGGAGCTTAATTTAGGGTTTAGGGTTTAATGTTTCGGGTTTAGGGTTTGGGGTGTACGCTTAATCTGAAACCTCCAAGCCTGAAATGTTGAGGCCTAAAGCCTCTGCCTCTACCAGCCTCCCAAAGCTTCCTTTGACAAACCCTCAAAACACCAACTACAACCCTGAACAACTTAAACCCTGAGCCCTAAAACCCCAAAACCTAAAACCCCATAACCCCAAAAAACCCTTAAATCCTAACCAACACCCAAAAAAAATGCAAAAGCCTTAAACCCTACACCCTAAGGGTCCAAGTACCTAATAATCATAATTATACTCTCCCAGATATTAACCCAGATAGCTACAAGCCGCAATCAAAGTACCTGATTACTGGGTCCTTTGGACCCTTAGGGATAGAGCCAGGGTGCCCAGGAACCAACCGGAGGCGAGTCGGCGCCAGACAGCGGGAGGTGGCCGCGAGCTCCGGGTGGATGCGTCAAAGAGAGGCGCAGGGGTTCCTCGGAGGGTTTCCCTAAGGGTTACGTTCAGGGGTTTAGGGGTTTAGGGACAAGAAGGGCTAACTGCCATAAAGTGCTTCCTTTAGGGGAGTTCTAAGAGGGGATCATTGCTATCTGGGGTTCATTTAGGGGTCACTCTAAGGGCCGATTGCTGTAGCGGGTGCTTTAATAAGGGGTCTCAGCAAAAAGGCTTTCAAGAGTCCTCATCGTCACCGGAGCCGATGCACCCTAAACCCTAAACCC